GGACTTCCCCTGATCTGGCAAATCTCCTCATTTGGGACCAGTCAGGTCCTGAGGATGCCAGACCAGTGAGGTCCAACCTGCAGTTTGAGGGCTTTCAAGGTGTGTCTTTATTGTGTAAAACTTGGGGATACCCTCTTATATAAATGAAGGTTGTGAAGGGAGAAGTCTTTCATGTCTGAGTCATGGGTAAACAATACTTAAAGGAATTATGTAATTCAGACCTTCGTTTTCATAGAAATTTGCATTGCTTTGCAGCTGATATTTGATGCAGTACTGCAGATCATGAATAGTGCTCTGGTGCCTTGGAGCGCAGCAGTCGAGCAGCTGGTGAAGCAGCATTTGGAAATGAACCATGTCAAGTAAGGGAACATTCCTTAACTCCTAACACCTATCTCTTCAAAATCTCAAAGATATTGTACTCTTTTTTGTTTTTTCTTTCGATTAGAATTCAGAGTTGAACTCTTTATTTTTAACTATGTGCCATTAGAAGAAGCAAAATTATTAATAGTGACATCTATTTGTAGAGTGAAGTTATTGCAGGAAAGTTACACGCTAATGGAGATGAAAACACTGTTACGGGGATATGGAATAAGAGACACTAATCTTTTAAAGGACAAACATATGATAATGGTAAGTGTTGAGATGTTATTTATATTTTTATTTTAATATATATTCAAATAAAAAGTACTATGCAAGACTTCGAGTGTTTTGATATGACTGTAGTGGCCAGATTTTGAGAAGATCTTAGCTTCCATTGTTCTGCTATTTCTTTTCAAAAGTCTGGCCACTTCCTTTAGATATCTAAATACGAATCAAGCTCTATTGGAAAAAAATCAGACTGCACAAAGAGAATCCAGAACAGAAAAATAAAATTAGCAAGACAAATGTAAATTTCAGTTCCCACTCTCATGCTTTCAGGCTGCATGAAAATTTAAGAACTGTTAAAATGGCTTGCGGGACTGAATTAGAAGTAGGCATTTGCATTTTATTGCTGAGAGCTGTTCGGAAAGATGCTTATTATTTCTTCTTTAAGTGCTTGCTCATGTCCATTCTGATAAAGGGAATCCTCTGAACTGTCATTCATGTTAAAATTCGACACTTACCACCAGGGACTTAACAAGTCTTTGAACTTTCTCACCCATTATCAAGACAGTTTCCCCAATTATCACCTGTAATACCATTAACTCACAAACATCCCACTCTCCCTACCTTTAATATCAGCAATTCACAGACACTTACCTTCCTTCCTCCCCCTTCCCACCCCCCCGCATCCTCCTTCTGTTCTGCAATGTGATTTGTCCTTTTCATATTTGTTCATTTTTTTAAATTGTATCCTTTGGTATATATGGTTGTGACTACTTTCTTCCACTATTTGATCTGAGGAAGTGGGTCTGGCCCACGAAAGCTCATCATCTAATAAACCATCTTGTTAGTCTTTAAAGTGCTACATTGTCCTGCATTTTGCTTCAAAAAGGAGATGGACGGTCAAACCACATTAACGTAAAGTTTTGTGCTTGTGCTATCTAAAAGGCATACTACAAGGAACACACAACAAAATGTTTATTTCTTAAAATTCCATGGAAAATCTTAGAAGGTCTTTGGGGCCTGTCTTTGTTTTTATATAATGCCTAGTATGTTGTATATACTACTGAAAGCATAATAAAAGTAAGTACAATATTATTTTATATATATTTTATGATGGGTTGGATGTTTATATTTTACCATATTTATTTTTGGAGTATTGGTTGCACTGAACTGCCAACTTCAGGCTTTACAATGTATGCAAATGTACAGGTAAATGTGATTTGTTTTCATCAGTAGGAAGCTAATCTTACCCATAAAACCATTCCTCTTGACCTGAATCCAGCAAAACACTTAAGCATGTGCTTAACTTTCAGCAAGTGAGTAATCAGTTGAGCCCTTTTCCTAGATGAAGATAAAAGCAGCTAGAGCATAGTATACTAATATATTTGGAATTTACATTTGTATAGGATATGTGGGCAAAGAATTTAATTGCAGCTGTGATAGTGTTTGATGTGTTTGTTTGATAACGTACACAAAATGCATAGCCTAAAGTCTGAGACTCTGTGTACTAGATGTACACGTTGCAAAGGCTGAAGAATAGTAGCACTTTAACAGAATATAACACTATGAATGTTGGACAGGTAACTCATAAAGGAAAACTGAGAGTGAATTTGCTTTGAAGATGCAGGGCTACATTGAGAGTTTGCCCTTAATCAAAATATTGATTGTTTTGAGCTGGTTGATAAAGTAGGTGAGACATTCATTTAGATCAGTTCTTCATTAGTCATAAGAGAAGCCCAGTAGGTTAATTTGTATTAAGACTGCTAGAAAGATTTCTCAGGATGATCAATGCTTTGAATGTTTTTAAATGCTTTTGCAACAAAACTATTTAAGTTTGAATACTTGGATTGCAATATTCTGTCATATCTAAGTTATCTGAATACATGTACAAACTCGATTTATATTGGATTTGATAAACTTCTGATTTCTGAGTTATTGGTACATACAAGCTATAAAATTGCATCAAAAATAAATAAGTATATAAAAACTGAGGATTAAGCTCAAATTAATCATTTGTAGCTTTGGTATATTTATATAAACATTATTTTTCCTCTCCAGTAAACCTGTAGGCATCATATAATTTTTTTCAAAATATAGGAGATGTATATTATTTCTGTCAGTATTTATATGACTAGATTAGGGATGTTAATTACTATGTATTTTTGTAGAGGTGTAACTGCTGGTGGTGTGTTTT